CCAGAGGACAGGAGCTCTGTGTGTCCCTGTCCTCAGTTCCTCCAGCCTGAGGGACATGAGAATCGAGCCCAGAGGACAGGAGGTCTGTGTGTCCCTGTCCTCAGTTCCTCCAGCCTGACGAACCAGAGAACAGGAGCTCTGTGTGTCCCTGTCCTCAGTTCCTCCAGCCTGAGGGACATGAGAACCGAGCCCAGAGGACAGGAGCTCTGTGAGTCCCTCTCCTCAGTTCCTCCAGCCTGACAGACCAGCGGACAAGAGCTCTGTGTGTCCCTGTCCTTGGTTCCTCCAGCCTGAGGGACATGAGAGTCGAGCCCAGAGAAAAGGAGCTCTGTGAGTCTCGGTCCTCAGTTCATGACCAACAGAAATCAAACTGTTTGAGTACCAGTGCACCATAGAGTGTCTGTATTTATGTATAGATGCTAGGGGGTGAAAAGCTTGAAAAACATGGGCATATAAGGGTCTTTAGTGATGTATTGGGATGTGTGTTACTGTGTCTGTTTCCTCTGTCCCTGGTGTGACATACTTTCCTGTTTCTCCAGGTTATGTTGGTGCTGCCACAGTAGGAGCTGCTGCCTGGTGGTTTATGGCTGCTCATGATGGACCGAAAGTCAGCTTTTACCAGCTGGTGAGGACAAAACTGCATCTCTCAGTGCAGTGAGTGTGTCTGTACTGTGTTAACCCCTCTCTGTCAGTGCAGTGTTCATGTACTGGAGTGTCCAGTCAGTGTGTCTGACTCCTCTCTCTCTCTCTCTGTCAGAGTCACTATCTGCAGTGCAGTGAGGAACACAAGGAGTTTGAAGGAGTGGACTGCTCAGTGTTTGAGTCTCCCTACCCCATGACGATGGCACTGTCGGTGCTAGTCACCATTGAAATGTGCAACGCCCTCAACAGGTATGAATTAAATCGCAATGCAACAGCTTTGTTCATATGTACCTCTTGAGCAAGAGTGATGCTGATGGATCACAGAGATAATAGAGTTCTTAATCTACAATTGGCAAATATGG